CTGGTCATCGGTGCGGGGCTGTCCCTTTGCCCGGCCACCAAGGCTTTGGCGTTCAGAGCTTTATTCCTCGTTTCCTCCCCAGTCCCTTCCTCAATTATCCAACACATCTTTTAAAATCTTTTTGTAACTAAGTTTTTCTCCTAATACTCCTGCCAACCCTGCTCCTTTGCCCAGGCCCCTCCCTCTCTGCAGAGCCTCTGATGGAGCTGCTAGCTGGTGCTGACATGCCCTAGCTGGGCGCTCCGCTCTGCTCCGGGTGTGGTCTCGCCTGGTGGACAGACGCAGCGGGCCTCCTGTCCTGTGGGCAGTGGGGAGGGGAGCAGTGCTCAGCTCAGCTGCTTCCTCCCATTCCAGGCCTCCCAGGCTCATCATCTAGCCCCGCTACCCACCAAGTGCCAGATGGAAGCCTTTTCTGTCTCCTTCGTTCCTTAGAACTCGCCCAACTATGTTTTTTCTAATCTGAATCTCATTTCGAAATCTCTTGCCCAAGGGGTTTCCCAACGCCTCTCAGCTTTGAATCAACCTGCTGTTTACAGCACACCCAGATCAGGGGGACCGGTTCTGACACTACGCCCTGAAGACACTCCTGTGCCCGAGATAGTCAGTGACACCTGGACAAACATTCCTTCCTTATCTCCCATGAAGGAAGAAGCCAAGTAGGCTCCAAGCTGAGAACAGGAACTGGCCGGAAGGCAGATACCAACTTGGCCGTATTCTTCCCCTGGGGAGACGGTTGGGGGCTTGCTGCGAATGTAGGTCCCGCCTGCAGGAGGGTGACCTGCCCCCAAAAGTGCCCAGTCCCTCTCAGGGGGCGATTCCACAGGAATGGGAATCTAGTCCCCACCCCGGGCTTAATGCGGTGGATTTCTGGCCAGAGGGACCTTGAGCCAGGAGCAGCGTCTGGAACAAACACAGAGAAGTGGGTCAGTGTTTTTTTGAACAAAGGAAAACGGGTTGTTCTCTGCATACAAAGGTGACCCACTCACTACCTGCCTTGGTAACCTGAGAGCGCTCCCCAGCAAGGAGGGTCGCCCTGCTGGGGTACGGCTCCTCCTCCAGGGGAAGCTGAGGGACCAGCCTGGGGGACAAACAGCAACCTGGGTCTCTGCATCATGTTCTGGCCAAGAAGACATTTCACCTTGATTTTTTAAAAATCAACTCAAAGCCCAGTTCTGCACCCGAGTCCCAGAGAGCCAATCCCTTCATGCAAATGAGCAGAGCAGATCATGGATGCCAGCGGCCTCGAGGCAGGCTCATCGCTCCCTCACTGAGGTGAACGCCGCCGCCGTGGCTGAGACAAAGCCTCTCTCTCCGCTCCTCTCCCCTAATTGACAGAAAACACCCGATGCCACGGCAAACTCCTGTTCTTGGCACTTGGTGTCACTCTTGCTTCACCCTGACTCAGCTCAAAGCCTTCGGACTAGTGGCCATCATCACAGAGGCGACAACTCTGTCCTCAATCCCACCCTCACTGCGCGCACGCGCACAGACACACACACACTCACACACACACACACACACACACACGCACACGCGCACACGCGCACGCATGCCAGGGCCTAGCCCAGCTCTCCCGGAGGAGAGGGAAGTGTCCGGGTAGAAGGATGACAGGAGTGCCACACACTGAATGGCAGGAGGAAGGGCCTCATCTTCCCTGAGCAAGGCCTGGGTGGAGCCTGGGCTCCTGGAATTGTTGGTGGTTGACTTCACCACCATTTTCTTAAAAGTCAGAATTGCTCACAAGGCAATCTCATAGCACAAACGCGCACACTCAAACACTGAGAGTCACCTGACCTCAAACGGACAAACTCTGGTGATGGAAACATAGAAACTATCCATTTAGAGCTGCAAGGTTTGCTGTGAGACTCCTTTTCAACACTTGCTTACCAAGCCTTTGCCCATCTCCAGTGCAGGAGAGCACATTTTTTCTACTAATAACACCTTGGGCAACCATAAGAATGTTATAGTCCCTTGTAGTTAGTCTAATAATTAGCATAACCAAGCTCCTCCTCCTGTCATGCTCTTCAGCCACTGCCCCACCTTCCCAATCCCTCCCGGCCTCTGCTGTTCCCTTTCCTCACTCAACAAGGATTTAATGAGCTCTGGGCTCACTCGGGAGTCTCCTTCTGCAAACCCCTCCCTCTACATTGCCTCTAGAACAGTGGTTCTCAACCTTCCTAATGCCGCGACCCTTTAATACAGTTCCTCATGTTGTGGTGACCCCCAATTTCATTGTTACAAATTGAACATAATTAAAGCATAGTGATTAATCACAAAAACAATATGTAATTATATATGTGTTTTCCGATGGTCTCAGGTGACCCCTGTGAAAGGGTCGTTCGACCCCCAAAGAGGTCGCGACCCACAGGTTGAGAACCTCTGCTCTAGAACATGTCTCTGTCCTTGAGGTTCTCCTGTGGGTGACTAATCCTCATGGACACAGTGGTTCCTCCTCTGGCACAGAGACCTAACATCCTTCCACCCCAAATCCAGCTCCTTTCCCACACACAAGGCCAGGTGCGTCAGGGTGAAGTCTGACAGCCCCCAATAGCACAGGCTTAGTGAAGAGCCATCAGCCAGGAAGAGCTGTGTGCAAAGGCCGCCTGCCCAAGCCACAGCTGTCCTTCAACCAGCTGCTGCCCACTGCACCAGCTACTTAGCACAACAATATCTAGGTTATGGGCTCCTGGTCACCTGATGCTCCCTGATCCCTGTCATGGAACTGGCTGTCCGGAGCAAGAGGTCTCCGGGAAGGTGGAGCTTCCATCTGCCCTCCTGTCAGAATTCTGACGCCTGACGCATCGGGGAGCAGAGGTCACCGCTTCCCTGAAGCCTCATCTTTGAAAACATCTTGTAAACATGCATCAGAGGAAGAAATCTTCATTCTACCTCTTATTAGTTCCTGGACCTGCAAAGTTCCAGCCCGACAAGTCATGCTGGAGATGACAGAGGGCTTGCGTGAGGAGACTCAAGTGGCTGAACTACCGCTTATCCTACTTCTGGAGATAAGAGTGTGGATGCCAAGGTCAGGAACAACATAGTGCCATGGGGCACTGTGTCAACAAGCATCTCTGTCTGGAAGCCCTGGCCTGGGGCTTTGTGGACTGCCCCAGGGGAATGGCCAGTCAGGCTGCATTCTTCCTGAAGTCATTCAAAGCACTGTGCGACCATAAAAAAGGGTTTCTGTCCTGAGGGGCACAGTAGAGCAGCTTGATTGCTCTACATGTGGAATCGGCATCAAGAGATTTCAGAAGCATAATTTTTTGGAACTTGGGCAGCTGGTGATCGTTCGTCCTGGCTCCCGCAAAACAACAACAACAACAAAGTACTGTATGACCATGATCTTGATCTTACCAACATCTAAGGAAGGGAAAAAAGGAATGGGCAGAAGTCTTCTGGTTTTAATTAAAAAAAAAAAAAAAAAAAACAATGGGGAGGAGGAGCCTTTAGGTGAACTAGCCAGAAAGTCAATAAAGAAGCATAAACCCACCCTAGCCAGTTTGGGTCAGTGGATAGAGTGTCGGCCTGTGGACTGAAGGGTCCCAGGTTTGATTCCAGACAAGGGCACGTGTCTGGGTTGTGGGCTCAATCCCCAGTAGGGGATGTGCAGGAGGCAGCCGATCCATGATTCTCTCTCATCACTCCCTCTCTTTCTGAAATCAATATAAATATATTAAAAAAGAAAAAAAAAAGAGCACATACCTTGGTTGTAGGCTTAATCCCCCGCCCTGGTTGGGCATGGGTGGGAGGCAGCCAATCAATGTTTCTCTCTCTCTCTGTCTCTCCCCCTCCCTTCCACTCTCTAAAAATTAATGGAAAATCCTTGGGTAAGGATAAACAATAACAAAGGAAGCACAGACTCTAAAACCCTGACCCAGGCCCATGGCCATAGCAAATCAGACAGATGGTGATTTTGTATGTGTGTGTTCAGGCTGAATTCAAGGTTGAATCTGACCCCTCTCGAAAGGATACCAAGATGCAAATCCCCCTGCCCTGACTTACCCAAACTTTGTAAATAACAGAGACACTCACTAGAGAAATTAGAAGACAAAATAGCTAAGTGGTTTGAGAAGGCGTGGCTAGAAGCATGTTTTCCCTAAAGCCATATGTGTAGACTGTCAAAAATACGAGTTTAATGAGCTTATAAATTTGGAGTGACTCTTCACATCTCACAGAGTCTGGGATTAAACTATTTCACCTCTGAAATCAAAGAGGCTGCCACTGGACCCTCATCCTTGACACTTCTTCCAGAGGCCGCTCCATGCAATTCTTCCTCAGTTTACCCTTCTGCCCAGGTCACTGACCCAAACAATTCAGCCCCCAGTGTTTTGTAGAGGGAGATTACAACTTCTGGTATTCAAAGATGTCTTCTGATGTTTGATCTCTTTCCTTTCCTCCCTAGTTGCTCCCTGAAATACCGCTTACTCCCTTTAGGAACCTGCATGCTTCTTCTAAGAGATGGGTACCTGTCCCGGTTAATTCCTACAAATTCACAAGGTTCTCTCGTGCTCAAGTTCAAAGCACTCTAATCTCAGTAATCACTGTTTGCTGTAGTGCTGTTCTAGCCTCTTCTGTTACAGTATTTCTCAACATTAACTTAATTGAACTTAAAAGATATTGTACATTTAGCATAATTTGGCAAACTAATAATGTAAACAGTGTCTTGCTGACACAATAAGTCCAACGCAGGAAGCCACGCAGTCAGCAGTGTTGTCTCACAGATGACAACAAATCCCAAACAGCCGCAGGGGCTGCTGTGAGGCACACATGGTGACATCATTCACGTAGGGCTGGGCTCCTCTGGCTGGATCTGAAGGCGCTCGCTCTTCCTTTCCAGTCTGTTTGTCCTGTAGAACTAACATTTGGGGTGTCACCCCAATATTTTATTCTCTTTCTGATCCAGGCCAGCCTTGGAGACTAAGACAGAGCAAGCCTGCAGTTGAACACTTTGTCGCCACTTTCCAGAGCCCTACGCTAGCCTTGCTCACGTTCAGGGCTATGCGCGACCTTGCTGTCCCACACCATGGAACTGTCTATTAATTAAACAGACAGACAACCTTCCAGCCAGGGCAACTACATATACTCTGATGTAAGCCCTTGGTTCCATTCCTTTCTCTCCAAGAAGGGACTCTTCTGAGGGAATTTCTCACTGACAATAACATAGCAGTGTTCTCCTCAAACCCCAAAACACTCACTGAGTCTTTCATCTGCAGCCACCCCCGGAGAGCCCACGCCTCTGGCATCTGCCCCAAATAGCCTGGCCTCCCATGCGAGCTTGACTCTCAGATTTGTCATTCTCATGGGCTGTCCTGGGCTTCTGATGACACAACCAGGACAGAAGAGAAACCCTAATCCGGTGCATGCTGGTTGACGGTGAAAACTTTCAGATAAAGGGATCTTGGGGAAACCATTACAACAGCTAAAGAATTCCTGGTGCAAAAGTTCCCAGTGCCACTGTCCCACCCCAAACCAGTTGGAGACACAGACCCGCCCTTCTCCGGGCTGCTTTAGATAGGCATCAACAGTCTGTGCTCTCCCTCCCACCTGAATCCATGCCCAACTGGTTATGTCCCAGGGCTCCTCAGAGACACCGCCAGTACAAGTCCTTCCTAGGAGGTGACAGTGCCCTTCAGAAAGCCTGGCGTCACCCTGAGAGTGTCTCCCCAGTGCCGCTGCCTTTGGCAGGTACAGAGGGAGGGTGCAGGAAGCAGGGGTGTCCCTGGATGTAGCAGCCCAGGTCTGAGAGTAACAGTGCCCGGCGGGCAAGGAAAGGCCTGAGAAATGAAGGCGCTGCCTGCCACGTTGCTGCACAGGTCTGAGCTGGAAGACTGAGCAAGAAACTAAATGATGAAACAGAAACACATTCTCAGTGGTGATCAAACTCCCAGATTAGGTCGGTTTGCTCTCTTTAAAAAAAAATGCATCTCTGTAGATCAGTTTTCCTCTGGGCATGGGAAACTTTCGCTTTCTCTTCCTCCATCCTCTTCCAGAGGCAAGAAGAGGGCGAAGAAACAGGTTCTGATTCGATGCCAGGTTAGGTCGTGAGCGGATGGACCGTTCTCCTCACACACATCAAATCTAGCCGATAAATAAGTTGATCTGACCTCCAGTGAGTGTTTTGAACAGGGAGCCGTGGCAGTGAGGGGCTGTGAGGGGTCTGTGCCTTCAGGGGCTTTTGTGGGGGCTAATCAGGCCAGCATGACTGCACCTGCCTTCATACACCTGCCCTTAGAAAAGTCTGCGCCAGGTCAGGTTTTCCTACATGGAAGCCTCAGCCCTTCCTGACTCACCGGTAATCAGAGCCTTTATTTTCATGTAAGACTCATCTCCCACTGGTGACAGCTTTCAACAGTTAGCTTCCAGATTTTCTGTCCTCTCTCCTACTTAAGTGCTCTAGGAGAGCTTCTCACTTATTTATTTATTATTAATCCTTACCCAAGGATATTTTTCCATTGCTTTCAGATAGCGCGGAAGGGTAGGAAGGGAGAGTGGGGAGAAAGAGAGAAAGAAACATGGATGCGAGAGAGACACATAGATTGGTTGCTTTCTGCATGCACCCCAACTGGGGCTGAGGATTGAGCCTGCAATCCAGATACGTGCCCTTGACTGGAATCAAACCCGGGACCCGTCAGTCTGCAGGCCAACGCTCCAACCACTGAACCAAACTGGCCAGGGCGAGCTTCATATTTAAATAAGCCCAAGGATGAATCTCCACAAAGTGAAGACTATTTCTGTAAAATAAGGAAGTCTTCTCAAATTCGTTTGCCTCATCTGGGGCTAGCATAAATCATTTTTTTTCTAGAATTGGTTTCCATTGTCACCTAAACTGAAAAAAAAGGTAAAAACCAATTTCTGTCTGACTGCATCAGAAATTCTCTAAGGTCCTACAAATACAAGTACCCATTCCCGAAGGACTTGCCTTGTAAGGGAAGACGAGGAAATGGGAAATGTTGACCAACGCAGGGAGCTCCGGGAACCAGCTCTGCTTCCCGGCCTGGGAAGGTCAGTCCTCAGGCGATAATGCCTGTCGTTGCTGACGGGCCTGTCCATGGCCACGCTTTCAGAACCGAGACGTGGTGCCAGGTATGGGCTGGCAGAGGAATTGAGATTGTCTCAGAAACTGATGCCATGTGGCTGCCTCAGGGGACTCTCCCTCATGTCCATCAATTTTCTCCCCAGATGCCTGGAGTTTATTATACTGATTAAAGCAGATGTTCAAAAAGGCCTCCAAATGGACCTATCCACAATTTTCAGTTTTCCCACCAAATCAGCCTCCCCTTTTATTTTTATTTATTTATTTTTTAAATCATTTTTAACATATTTCATTGATTTTTTACAGAGAGAAAGAGAGAGGGATAGAGAGTTAGAAACATCGACGAGAGAGAAACATCAATCAGCTGCCTCCTGCACACCCCCCACTAGGAATGTGCCCGTAACCAAGGTACATGCCCCTGACCGGAATCGAACCTGGGACCCTTCAGTCCGGAGGCCGACACTCCATCCACTGAGCCAAACCGGATAGGGCCAGCCTCCCCTTTTAAAAAGGATATGTCATACCCAGCCGAGGTGGCTCAGTGGTTGAGCATCGACCTATGAACCAGGAGGTCACAGTTCGATTCCCAGTCAGGGCACATGCCTAAATTGCAGGCTCGACGATCCCTGATTGTGCAGGAGGCAGCCAAACAATGATTCTCTCTCATCATTGATGTTTCAATTTCTCTCTCCCTCTCCCTTCCACTCTGAAATCAATAAAAATATATTTAAATAAATAAATAAAAAGGATATGTCAGCAATAGACATAACTTTGTCTACTGATTCAGGCAGGAGGTGTTATTGCTCTGATCAAACTGGCTCTTTTCAGATTAAAAAGTAATTATTCCAAAAGAAGAGTTTCTGGTTAAAATTAAACCACAGTCCAAGAGCTATTAGAACCTGGACTTTGGACAAATGCCAAGGAGACCAGTTCTGGGCCTCACCCTGAGAGGAAACGAAAGCGACTCACTAGAAGGAAGAAATCTTCAACAACTGATCACATAAAAAAATTAAGTAAGTCCTAGCTCCGTGGTCGGCAAACCGCGGCTCGCGAGTCACATGCGGCTCTTTGGCCCCTTGAGTGTGGCTCTTCCACAAAATACCACGTGCAGGCGCGCACGTA